AATGTAACAGCCCAGTGAAGAAGACATATGTGAAATAAATCACATATGTCTTCTTCACTGGGCTGTTACATTAATCACAGAACATTAATAAATTAATCACAGAACATTAATAAATCACATATGTCTTCTTCACTGAGCTGTTACATTAATCACAGAACATTAATAAATCACATATGTCTTCTTCACTGGGCTGTTACATTAATCACAGAACATTAATAAATCACATACCTCTTCTTCACTGGGCTGTTACATTAATCACATAACATTCATTAATAAATCACATATGTCTTCTTCACTGGGCTGTTACATTGTGTTTTACTCACCTCTTACTACAAGTTTTACAGCATATGCTTCTTCTCCTTTCAAGTTTTCAACGTGTATTATGTACTTTCTTGAATCACTACTTTCAACATTTTCAATAAGGAGTCTTGCTTCGTAACAGTCATCCCAGTCTTTCACCTGGTTTATTTCAATATATTCTTTTAATTAGTACGACATTAGTAAATACCTAACCCTCTTATCGAAAACTGAAGCATGGAAAACAACAAACTTGAAATATTTAAAATATGTGCTATTAATGAGTTTACCAAGAAAAATTATTTTAAATTTTGGGATTTTATTTTATCGTCATATTTCTATAAACATCTATTAAAAGAGAAAAGTGCAAAGTGTAGGGAAATATAATTCATTTGAAGCATGCTGGGAAAAGTTTTAAAATGGTTAAACCTTCTATGATCACCAGTCAATAAACTATTATATGTAAATTGATGGAAGAGAATAGAGACAGCTAAGAAATGTAATAATTCATTCAATACTATCATAAGGCTTGTGACCAACTGGATGTTTGGTACTAATAGCCGGTCTATAAAGTAGTTTGAACTAGACTTGTTGTAAGAATCATCTTTCACATCTTTTTTAGTTTTATCAGAACTTCGTTAAACATAAACAAACAATGTTCTGGGAACCATAACTTGCTTTCTTAATTATTCTGATTTAAAAATTAAAATGTAGCAAAAAAACATGTAAAGAATTTGGGATGACAAGAAGCAGGGATGACACATATATAAGAGGCTTGGGGAAGCTAAACCTCCCCAAATTAACTGTCCCTCATGGAGCATCATTCTCACCAACTCAAAAATACTATACCGTATTTGTGGAGAGAGACAGACACACAGAGAGATTAAAAGAGGAGAGTTTAATCATCTATGAGCACAAACTGATTCTCTCCAACCCTCCACACGCGAGAGAATGGCCAAACCAAACAAACACTTGTTGCATATACCAACAAATAATTGTAAGAAAAGTTGAAACTTCTACATCCAGTCTTAACATTTCTAGCTGTTCAAATATAAGCCTTAAAAATAATTATCCAAGTGTTATATGATTACACAATAAAAACATTTTTAGAAATCAACTTTGGCAGCTCCATAGCACTGTTAATCCTACATAGTAGTTTTACAACTATTACTTACATACATTCTATTGTGAGTTTGGAATTTTTTACCATCATGAAAAAAGCATATCCCACTTCAGACAAGTCAGAAATATTGTTTTTTTATTAAGTATCTAAAGATAAAACCAATAATGGGAGAGTTGTTTATCTGAACACGTAGCCATGAAAGGGATAATGCTTCGGTAACACTTTTGAATGCCCAAAACCACTGGGTACTTACATGACAATTAAAAGCCTAATTGTACGACAATATCTGGACTTCTTGAACAGAACTTTACAAAGACAAAGTGCTTGAAGTATTCTGAATAACAGAATAAATTAAATGTTATGAACAATGATTAGAATTAATTGTGATTTAAATGGAAAATATGTAAATAATCAAGTTATAAGAACTGAAGCATTAAAGTAAATTAATGTAAACAGACACAAGTTAAAAATACAGTTCATGAAGTATTTTAAATAACATAAAATTATACACACACACACACATATATATGTAAATAATCAAGCTATAAGAACTGAAGCATTAAAGTAAATTAATGTAAACAGACACAAGTTAAAAATACAGTTCATGAAGTATTTTAAATAACATAAAATTATACACACACACATATATAATAATTTTGCTCAATAATTTTGTAATTATGTCCCCTGAACCAGTATTACAATATTAATCATGTCCCCTGAACCAGTATTACAATATTAATCATGTCCACTGAACCAGTATTACAATATTAATCATGTCCCCTGAACCAGTATTACAATATTAATCATGTCCCCTGAACCAGTATTACAATATTAATCATGCCCCATGAACCAGTATCACAATATTAATCATGTCCCCTGAGCCAGCATTACAATATTAAGTATGTCCCCTGAACCAACATTACAGTATTAATCATGTCCCTTGAACCAGTATTACAATATTAAGTATGTCCCCTGAACCAACATTACAGTATTAATCATGTCCCTTGAACCAGTATTACAATATTACATGTATAATTGAATTTAAATTCTTGATCATTCTGTTTGTTGTAGTTTTTGTATTCCAGAATTGAGTGTTCTGTCTAAAATCTTGTGCTAAAAAAAATCTGTTTTTTTTATGGAACTGATGTTAAATCATATTTTTTACAGAACAGGGACACTATGGTAGTGACTGAACTTTACGTAGAAGTTAATTCTGTTTTTTTAAGTAATTTAGTTCACAACTTATACTTTGGTCCTACAAAAATTCTATCTATCGGTAATTACCAATTCATGTACAGGATGCTTTCTTCTAAACATACTTGTTTCATCTAGAGATCCATATAATTACATAGCCATATGACTGCATGTAATATGGAGAATATATCATTATTATTAAGTCTCATTGAAGTTAAAATACATAATTCAGGTAAGCTGTATTGTAAAAAAAAACTTACAGCAACAAATCCTTCAGCTACATATCTTCCTAGTTCTGATCCAGTGTCCAGTTTCAGGCTACCCCACTCCCAGTAAACTCGATCAGGTTTAGGATCAGAGCAAAACATAACACTTATTGTAACATCCTCATTTCTCTCAACTACCACATTGTCCTTGGTTGTAGTCATTTCCGTAATAATCTGAGGATTCCCTGATAAAATATTATTAAATACACGGTATCCGTCAATAAGAGCATAAGGAGCACAGAAAAAAAAAAAACAGTTAAAAGAAAGAAGAATTTGAAAAAATTACATTCAGAAAGGATTAACATTCTGAACATTTTCATACTACATAATATTTTATTTAAAATTAATGTTGTTAACTAAAAAATCTGTAAATTTCAATGTTAATAGTACTTAATAGAAGTAAGCCATTGTATGGCTTTAGAGGGAGGAGTTAGCACATTCATTTCGGCTGGAATGTATATTTACCGATGCAGTGAAAGGGTTAGTAACTGTAACCCTTGTAGCTCAGCAGTTGGCAAAACAGTTTGAAATTTTCCAATTTTTGGATTTTACTGATTATAAAAACTTACAACCAATTTAAGAGCTTCAAATATAACATTTGGTTCTTAACTGATCAAAACTTTGAAAAATATTTAGTTTAGTTTTAGAGGATATTATCTTAAAATTAATATTAAACTAGTTCACGTAGACGAAGAGAAACAAGAAATGTTTAGGAAGTGCCGAACATTTCTTCTACACTTTGAATTTTAGTCTTATATTCATTTTTAGAATCTTGAAAGAAATTCAGTTATCATTATGAACCTTCTCTCGTTAAATACTAAATGTAAACGACTGTTGCATTCCCTAATTTGTTAAATCAGTCAATTAATAGTCTTGCTTTTAAATGTAGTTTGTTTTAAGATCGTAGTGACTTTGAAAGCAATTTAAAAAAAATCTCAGCTTCTCCAAAACTTACAGCATATTCAGAAAACCCATAGAATATTAATACTTACCACTGACATCTAACTTAATTTCTTCAGATTGAGTTTTATATTCTTTTCCTTTGATGTAATTTTTTGCTTCACAAATGTATCGACCTTGAAAGTTATAAGTAACGTTTGGTATAATGAGGTACGAATTAATGCCCCGTTCTTGCCATGCTAGTTGTTCTCCTGGGACCTTCTGAAGCCAAGAATATCTGGAAAATTGGAGATAGCAATATTTAAAGATACTTCAGCCAACTATTTGTCCAATTTGTTAATTTACTGAAATGTGGTTGTTCGTGCAAATGTTAGAAAATATACTTTTGTTAGTGGTCTAGCCTGATACTTCTTTTTCCTGGTTGAAGTATGTTTAAAACACAAATAAGTATAGAAACTATATACTATCATCATCTAAGTAATCTCATGAGCTTTATTAAAACTTTAGCTAAATATGTTTCTTAAATGAAAAAAATCTACCATTTTCCAGGTTAAAATGAACAGTCTCTCAGGAGAAGTGCGTTTATAAAACAGCAGTTGAAAACTATGATAATAAATTATATGTTTCTTCTTCACTGGGCTGTTACATTAATAAATCACATATGTCTTCTTCACTGAGCTGTCAGTTATAATCTGCCATGTTTTAAACAAAAACATTTATAAACTGATCTCTCAGTTGGATTATTTGTTATAATCTGCCATGTTTTAAACAAAAACATTTATAAACTGATCTCTCAGTTGGATTATTTGTTATAATCTGCCATGTTTTAAACAAAAACATTTATAAACTGATCTCTCAGTTGGATTATTTGTTATATTGATAGACAACATAGAAG